ACCTTCTTATTGAACCACACGTGTCACGAGAGTTTCTCTGTCGAACGGGGCAAACCTTACATTAGTCAGGAATGGAACTAAATTCTAACTTCCATTATGATGCAAGCTCTTTATTTTATGCTTGCTCTATTTCTAACAATGGCAAAACTAAGTAACAAAAAATCTTAAAATGAAAATATTGACTTAGAGTTTGTGTTTCTCTTCAACTTGATGCTTAAAATTTGCTTTCAAACTATTATCAATGTTTCAGTGAAAAAAACGTCAAAACTCATGCTTGGTTATAAGATTCTGATACCTACCCTAATTAGATGAAACAAAATGAAGAATTAGGTGTAACATTCTATAGTCCAGTGATCTGTAGTTTTCCTGGCTTCCCACAATTGAATTAAATTCTAAGAAAAGACATAATGAGGGAACTCATCTAATGAGGTTTTTTTAGATAAGGAATCATGGATAGCCAGGCAGACTACAGAGTGATAGAGAGATGTACAACAAAAAATAAATAAAACATATATAAACATTACTACCTTCTATCATTTTTCATCATACATGTATGAATGCTACTTTTAAAGCTGGCACATGCATATCAAATCTGTCTATATATATATTGTGTGTGTGTGTGTACACATACACATATATGAGAGTACTGGTGATAGGACCAGTATCTGGTAAAAAGGAAGAAAAATTGAAGTTTTGTTATCCTCTCAGCATGTGAGGAGACAAGACTGGTGATGAGTCATCCAATCCTATCAAAGAAACCTTTTCCTTTCATATAAATGTAATCCCCTATTTTGATTTCGTTATTCTATGGTTGTGAGGCCCTTCCAATGTTATTTTTGTTCAATGGTATTTTCTTTTAATCCATGGGTGACAGCAAGGGGCAACGATCTCACCTCCTATCAAGGTGTTTAGCATGATAAATGCTCTCTGAAATAAACCTGTGGTAGAAAGAATTGCAACAAGAGAAGTCTCCCTTCAGATGCATGTGTGTATGTATGTATGTGTGTGTCTGTGTGTGTGTGTAGGTGTGCATGTATTATGAAAAAGCAACATCTTTGGATAATGTGAAAGGGATGTGAAAGGGAGTTTGTCTCAAAGAACTGTTGAGATGCTGTTTTGTATAGTGCTGCAATGAAAGCAGATAATTACCCAAACTCAAGGTTTGGTTGCGGGGGGGGGGGGGGGAATTATATCAGCAGTAGTTCCACACTGGCACAAAATTGTTTTCTGTGATTTCAGATTATTCCCCTCTTCTACCTGAAGCCATATGGCCTAGCACCAAATGCCCTCAAAATTCCAAATGAGCTTTCATGGAGTACAATGGGCTGTAGGTGGGAGAATCGAAAAAGAAAAATTAGCTATTTGAGCTGCCTTTTTCTCATGCAACTTCTAGATGCAATTCTGCAATTTTATGGTCCCTCTGGGAGGGCTCAAAGCTGATAGAATTATTCAGGTACCACATGCCAAACCTGGAGACAGATCTTATTTTAGAGGGAGAAATCTGCCATAAGAAACTGGTACTGGTTTTCCCTCTGCTATCTTTTTTCTGTTATGAGGAAATGAGAAAAGGGATAGACCAGGGACCATGGCAAAAAGAGCAATTAATTTGCTAGAACCACAATGATCTATTAAAGTAACCATATCTATTAAAAAAAAAAAACCCTCTTAAAACAGTGGTATACTTTTTCAGGTTTGTGCAGAAGCTTTAAGAAAAGATAAGCTGTTTTAATGAATAGGAAGCACTTTCTTGTGAAATGTTAGAAGCATTTCTTTCTTATTTTTGAAGCCTGATATGCATGTTTTTGTTATGTTTACTGACTTTGTCCAATGAAGGCTTTTGCCAAACCAAAAAGCCTATGAAGCACCATTTTTAAATTTTAATATATTACCTCACAGATTCTACTGTAACGATGAAGCGTCATCCATAGCTCAATAATTTTTCAACAGTGTAATTAATTACATTTTCCTTATATTATACATTTCATCTATTAGGATTTGTTGCAAGGTGAAATATTTAATAACTGATTTTGCTGCGTTTCCATTTATGGGTAAATTTACTCATCCATGAGTTTGCATATATTCAGATAGTTCTAAATTTTCATTTAATAACAATATTATCTTTTCTGCACCACATCAGAAGTTTCTAAAACCCAGTGGTGGTAGAAAAGAAAAAAAAAAGATTCACAGAAGTTTCAGTGCAACACAGCAGAGTTGCTCTTTTAAAATAGTTAAAAGCACTGCAGTATGCAAGGATCATTCTATGTTCTTATTTGGACTGTAGCCGAATAGAACTTTTGAAACTAAATGAGTATTTCTGAATATGTGATCTGTGATTTAAATTACTATAATCCAAAGTTGCCTGTGAATCTCAGCAACAGATGTCAATCACACAGAACACAAGATGAATCTGATTACTGATGTAGATACTTTGATAGGAACATAATTCAAATCCATAGAAATCTACTGATAAATTAAAAGGAAGGTCAGATAGGAATATTACTAGCATGATCACACCTAGTTTACTGTGATAAATGCTGAACATATTCCAATATATAGGCAGTGATATACTGCAGGCCAGAAGTATTATATTTAACAGCATGTCAAATTTGTTAAGAGAAAAATATGATCACTTAAAACAGCTATGTTTAAAAGATTTAATGTAAATCGATTGCTCAGAGGGCTAAAACTGCACTCATAGACTTGCATGCCTTTGCAATTTCACTCTGCCATAGAAAAAGAATAATAAAAATGATGCATTTACTTTTCAGAAAAGAGATGACTCTTAACAAGATAGTATGACAGTAACCTTATTCAGAAGTATATGTGCAGAGGAATGTATTTTAATTTCCCAAATGTTGAGCATCTTAACTAATACTATTGCAAACATGGTTAGCTAAATCTTCTGCATTCTGTCTTCCCACTTTGGAACTTCCAGGAAAATGTAGGAGTGGCAAGTGGGGGGGGCATCCTTGTGCAGGATGGGGGAGGGGGGAACATGAGACAAATGATAACATATGCTTGACATCATCACACAAATGCTGCAATGCATGTATTTCTGTCGGATGTTGGGTCACAAGTACAAATAGCATCATTTGATCTGCATATGTGTCATAATTTAGGGATCATCTGCAGTTTGGTGCAGATGCTGCTGAAATTGAAGTTAATATGCATAATTTAAAGATAACTCACAATGCTATGAATGTGCTATCAGTTCTCTTTATATTCAGATCTCATCCTAGCATTCCAAAAAATTGAATGCTGATTTGTAGCCTTGGCTGTTTTCCACTTATGCCCTAGTCATTAGTATTAGTATCTTCTTCTCTGGTTAGGAAATATAGCATCTTGCAGGAATGTTTGTGGTAAGAACAAATTGTGCCATTTAAATCTTCAGCACCTGCTTTAGGAACACCTTGTTTCTTAGAATTCTTACAGGAGAAAAAGGTGAACATGGAAAGGAGGAGGAGGAGAAGCTCATCCCTCAACTATTGCTTGCCTTTTTTAGGCCCTTTGAAAAGTCCAGGTATGGACTCTTCCCCATTAACTATTTCTTGTATTACCAGAGCCCCCACCCTTTTTTGTTTTTTTAATCCTTGACCTCTTAAGAATGCAGCCACAAATTATTTCAGTAATTTTCTTAGTCAAATAAATCCCTAATCTTTCATCACTTTCTAAAGTATTCATTATGACAAAGGTGTTATCAAGCTTGTTTCATTCTAACAAAGCCAACTTATGGCGGGGGGGGGGGTG